GGGCCGCTGACCTCTCCGCCCAGTGGGGGCACATGTGTCCCTGCTCGGGTCAGAGGCCACGTGTGGCGTAGGTCGGGCACTGCTGGGTGGAGCCATGAGAAATTACTTTGCAGTGATTCAATAGCAGTAATTCAACTGATGCTCAATTGTTCTTCAGCAGCTTTATTACGGTCAGATTTGCCCATTGAAAGCGTACGAGTGAGTGGCTTTGGTGGACACAGAGTTGCGCAGTCATGTTGAATTGTTCCAGCTGACATGAGTCCTGGGTGAGGAGGCTGGGCAGGTCCCTCCTCGGCTCAGCTGTGCCCTGCCTTCCGACACCACCGCTGCGGGGGTGGACCTTGCCTGGCCCTGGTGAATTTCCAGCAGTGATCACAATCCTGAAACGAAGTGTCAGTTCTGACATTTAGGCACATTGTTGCCTGTTTTATCAAAATATGGTAGTAAATCCAGCATTTAGTTTTTAAAATGTTTCAAATTAATGATATTTTCAAAAACTGACAAAACAAGGTATTTGGGGAACCAAATGTAAGCCCATTAGAAAACATGAAACAGGTTGGGCACAGTGGCTCACATCTGTAATCACAGCACTCACATGGCAAGGAGGATCACCTGAACCCAGGCGGTCAAGGCTGCTGTAAGCCACGATTGTGCCACTGCACGCCAGCCTGGGTGACAGAGTGAGACTCCAACTGAAAGAAAGAGAGAGAGAGAGAAGAAGGAAGGAGGGAAGGAAGAAAGAAAGAGAGAGAAATGGATTGCCTGAGCCCGAGGGTTTGAGACCCGCCTGGGCAACTTGGCGAGACCTCATCTCTACAATAAATCAAAAATTAGTCGGGCGTGGTAGCGCACACCTGTAGTTCCAGCTACTTGGAAGGCTGAGGCGGAAGGATCGCTGGAGCCCAGCAGGTCGAGGCTGCAGTGGCCGGGAGCGGCCACTGCACTCCAGTCTGGGCGACAGAGTGAGACTCCAACTCAAAAAAAAAAAATGTGAACTTAGAGAAACATAAATTTGAAACCTATCTTATCATTCTATTATAAATTGGCATAAAATAATTATTTTAGAATAACCAACCAAAATGACACAAAATTATTTGCGAGACATTGAAAATTAAATAAGACTATTTGCTTTTTTGTGTTTTGGAGAGCAAACGTGTAAAGAGAGAATGTGGTGCCATTACTGAATGATGGAACTATTTCTGGGCAGATTTTTCCAGCAGCTGAAATGCTGTCTCTGGCTTTGTGACGTCAGATGGAGAAATGGCGAGGAGACGATTAGAAGCTAAATCCCAAAGCTTCGCGCTGTTGTCTCGTCTTGAAAGAGCTCCTCTTCGGCAGCTTTGAGGAGACCTGTGCGACCATCTTTAGGCTGACAGCTTTTGCTTGAGAGCAGCTGCAGTCTGTTCTGACTTGCGCCTGTCCCCTCCTGGGTTGGGGACTTCGGAGGCCTTCACCTGCCTTAGTCCCAGTGCTCACCTGTTCACACGCCCCCGGTCCAGAGCGCCTCGGAGGCCTTCTTTTTTTGAGTCGGAGTCTCACTCCGTTGCCCAGACCGGAGTGCAGTGGCCGCTCCCGG